TCATCTCATCAATACCTTCTACGACACAAGACATTCTATAGCTATTATCCTTCTGTCCTAAATGTCATGATTTAACACAAGGCATGGGATGTGTATCCTTGTATAGTTAAATCAGCTGTTACTGAATCTCAAGTAGACTGGCAGGGATCAGATATTTATCAGTCTCTAGATAGCGACATATCTGGGCATGGCCATGCACTTTCCCAAGTCCTACTATTCAGTGGGCCCATTGACATTATACTTCTATACAGTAGAAGGGACAGATCCTGTATCTGTTATTCACATCTCTAAATATGCTTAGCGGCATACCCAACACATAACTGTACGTCTACCAGTATTTCAGATAGCATTATTTATGAATCAAAGCATACGGCCCCACATATCAGAGAATGTAATAACTTCAAGTCTGAGGATAGTTATAGCAAGGTCGATTTGAGAATACTGATAAATACATTACAGTAGATCCATGCAGTATTCTCAAGATGGGTCAATCCAGTCACATATTATCGATATAATATGCACCTACGTACAGATTAAGATATCAGAATACCTATAGTCTATGAGACGCAACTATCTCATCTCGTACGTACTAGTCTTGATACGTTATGACGTCCGTATTATCATAAAGTGTGACTAGGGATATTCTAGACATAGCCTTCGTCAAGAAGTAACAGTCTCATAATCAGAACATCGTAGTCCTCATCTATGCTACTGAAGCGCTATCGTCTATGGATTGAAGCTATGTTATGTTACACGAGATATAAAACATACTTCAAGGACTTTCATTCATGATAAAGTGTACAGTTACATAGGTATTTGATTGCCGCTAGGGCACCTAAATACAACAATCTCCCACTTGCCCTAAGGCCAATCAAGCATTTCTCGAATGCCCATGGACCACCTATGACTCTCGTGTTTAGGCTTTCCCAAAGCCTTCGTCAACGGATCCGCGATATGTCGTCTGTACCTATCTTGCAAATCTCAACGTCCCCACGTGCAATGATTTCTCGTATGATGTGATAACGCCTAACGATGTGTTTGGTCTTCTGGTGAGACCGAGGTTCTTTCGCTTGTGCAATTGCCCCATTGTTGTCGCAAAACAACGGTATAGGGTTCTTGATGCTAGGAACCACTCCAAGCTCAGTAATAAAATTCTTGAGCCACACACCTTCCTTGGCTGCCTCGGCTGCAGCCATGTACTCTGCTTCTGTAGTGGAATCAGCGGTAATATCTTGCTTGTAATTCTTCCAGGTAACTGCTCCGCCATTCAAACAAAACACATACCCTGCTTACGACTTGAAGTCATCTCTATCAGTTTGGAAGCTGGCATCAGTATATCCAACAATACTGAGCTCTTCTTTTCCGCCATATACCAGGAAGGCATCCTTAGTCCTACGGAAGTATTGAAGGATGTTCTTCACAACCGTCCAATGGCTTTCGCCAGGGTTGGACTGGTATCTACTCGTGACACTCAGAGCAAAGGCGACATCAGGTCTCGTACATACCATCGCATACATGATGGATCCAATGGCCGACGCATAAGGAACAGTTCTCATGCGTTCTACTTCCTCCGGAGTGGAAGCACCCTGAGTCTTGGAAAGACTCGTGCCTTGGACCATAGGCAAACTTCCTCGTTTCGACTCAGACATGCTGAATTTAGCGAGGACCTTGTCTATGTATGTACTTTGACTGAGACCTAACAGCTTTCATGATCTATCCCTATAGTTCCTTATCCCAAGTGCATAACTGGCATCTCCCAAGTCCTTCATAGAGAAACTCTTACTCAACCACGTTTTGACGGTGGTTAAAGTAGAAATATTGTTTCCTATGAGCAGTATGTCATCAACATACAGAGCAAGGAAGACTACAGCACTCCCACTGACCTTCTTGTATACACAAGATTCATCCGAATTTCTTTCAAAACCAAAGCCGATGACAATTTCGTGAAAGCGGATGTTCCAACTCTGTGAGGCTTGCTTCAATCCGTAGATTGATCGCTGCAACTTGCATACCTTGGTAGATTCTTTAGGAGCGCAAAACCCTTCAGGTTGTGTCATAAAGACATCCTCAAGGAGGTTTCCATTAAGGAAAGCCGTTTTGACGTCCATCTGCCAGATTTTGTAATCATGGTATGCTGCGATAGCAAGTAAGATCCGAATGGATTTAATCATGACAACTGGAGAAAAAGTTTCGTCATAGTCGATACCATGTATTTGACGATATCCTTTTGCTACCAATCGTGCCTTGAAGGTTTGCACCTTACCATCCATGTCAGTCTTCTTTTTGAAGACCCATTTGCACCCAATGGGTTTGATCCCTTCGGGTGCATCAACCAAAGTCCATACTTGGTTGGTGTACATGGAATCCATTTCGGACTGCATGGCTTGACGCCATTCCTCAGCCTCGGGACAACTGATTGCCTCGAGGTAGGTCTCCGGCTCATCCTGGTCGATAAGCATTACGTCACCCTCAAAGGTTAGGAGGAATCCATACCTTTCAGGTTGTGTGCGTAACCGGTTAGACCTACGGGGTTCTTGTGTATCTTGAGCATTTTGAGGTACAACAGTTTGTTCCTCTAGCTCATGTTCCAGAACCGGCGCGGTAGTTTCTTCGTCGTCTCGAATTTCTTCGAGCTCTATCTTTCTCCCGCTAGTTGCGATGGAGAGAAATTCCTTCTCGAGGAAGACACCATTGCGAGCAACGAATACCTTCTTATCGATAGGGTGATAGAATGAATACCCTCGAGTTTCCTTTGGGTATCCCACGAAGAAACACTTATCAGACTTGGCGTCAAGCTTGCCATTCGTCA